CTTAAATTCTATGATTCTATGAATATAAAATATAGCAGAAACTATGTATATGACTGATTCTGTCAACCGTTGCTAAGTCTTCTTTTTGCAATTAAAAATAGTTTGTGTAATTTGCTAATATAAATATAAAACCTTGTTTCGTAATCATGTTGTGCTAGTCACAAACTGATGCAAATTTTTTCACTCTCAGGAAATTTTGTTAATGCCATTGAAACCTCATTTGCTTCTGGCATTGGTTGGCTGATCACCTTCTGTGCTGAGCATGGGGGTAGGTATAATAAATACTTTCCAAATAAGGCAACAGAAATAAAAGAACTTTTGTTGATGGTAGCATAATCACATCTTAGGTGATCTCAGTATTTGGAGTGTGGGTCATTTAAGTTCCATTTTAGATGCAGTTTGACAAAAGGGACATTAATAGAAAAATTATGCTTTTATGCTTCTGTGATAGACTCGTGTCTAATTAAAGCAACACTCAAGTGTAACTGCTCAGAAAGGGAACTGCAGAAATAGGTTCTAACTTTAGTTTTAAGCTCAAATGACAAATATTGCATAGGTACATGGCAGCTTGTCCAGATAGCTGAATAGAAGAAAGGATGTGTGTCCCCTTTAAACCACGAAAATTCAGCTGAATGATTTCTCTTAAGTTAGGTTTGGACATAGTAATTGGCTCTTACCACTAGTTTCGTGTCAAAGTTTAGATTCACATTATTTTTTGTAGCTGTTTGTCACTGGCTTTCTTGGAATCAGCACTGGACAACAGTATAGGAGAAAGTTACCTTGTTTGGCTGGTAGAGCTCAGTAAATGCACTACACCTTTGACAAATAAAGATTTCTCAGCCATATGAAGAGACCTTTGTTCTGCGAACTGAATAGCCAGAGCTGCAGTCTTGGATTTACATTTGTAAATAGCTTGATTTCAAGGTTTAGCTCTTTTGTTATTAAATTTTCAACTTTGGTTCAGTCAAGGAGAGGATGATGCATCTTCTTACTTAAAAAATCTGCATCAGAAGGTAACTACTCAAAATCTGGATGGGCAGTATATCATGTATTTATTATAGTGATTTATTATTTGTATCACAAAATATGGATATTTCCATTGAAATATCATTCCAAGACAGTATGTAGATACCTTTTGGATTTATTTTTTTGGAACATTAGCAAATTTTAAAGGTCAGTCTTAATACAGCAAATAAAATACTAAATGTTTTAAAACGAGAATTCTGTGTTGAGGAAGCAAGAGAATGTTATTCATGGGGCTTTTTAACTGAGAGTAGACAATCAGTAAGTGCTGATTACTAGATGCTATAACTCCAAGTTGCTGAAATACTGGATAATCAGTCAGGAGGCATACCTTTAGAAATGGTCACCTTTGTAAGGAGGAAAGGGGTAATTCTAAGCAAAAGTAGGTTGAGTGCACTAATAAGGTGAAGTTTCGTGTTAGTAAATAAATCATTTTTATTTTGCAGATTGCTTGAGTTACCAGACACGCCTCAAGCTAGCTGGCATGTTGGTAAGCAGTTTCACTTTAAAAGCATTACCTGTTATATTTAAAACAAACAAAACAAAAAAAAGAGAAGTGAAAGAATCATATTGTAGATAAAGATCTCACTGAGTTTACTGGAACCCATTAACTTTCAGAAGAGTGAAATGTTTGATTTAGTAGCTACTGAAATAACATTAAATTTTTTAAGAAATTTATAAAATATGAGCGTTAACTAATGAATTATAGTGTGATTTCCTTCCATTTTCTAAATATTGTATATAATTGCTTGTGTTGGGAACTTCAAAAGCATTTCTGAACCTGAAGTTAAAAAATGCTCTTATTTGGTTTTGTATTTGGTTTTGTTTTGTGTTGTTTCTTTTTCATTACAGGAAGGTCTTGCTAATGTAGGCTGGATGGACTGTGGCACCCAGGGTGAGCTTTGTGATAATTTAGATGTCTCATCTAGTACTACAGCATACTTTCCACCTGGAGCCACCATAAATAACAAAGAGAAAGGAGGTGTTTTGGTATGAGATGTTTTTAATTTTGTATTTAGATAAAATAAGGTGATTACCATGGTAAAGGAATGTATAAGTCATTTCCAGACTTATTACATAGAAAAGATGCTTTTTTCTATTTCATCTAAGCTTGTATGCTCTGCTATGAGTTTATATCCCTTCTGTCTTCTCAGGCAGTGATACTGGAGGTGGTCCCCAAGTTGTTGTAATGGTGGGAGAGTGAACAGGAGCACACTACAGGAGCAGCAGCCTGTAGCTCTGCCTAGCCACCTCCTCAGGAACCTCCCTGAGCAGCTGTGGGGGTCCAGGGGTAGGATGTGCTCAGTTACCACCCAACTAGCAGCTAGTTCTAAAGCTGCTACCCAGCTATCCTGGGCAAGCTTGAGAGTCTCTTCTCCCAGGTTAAAAGTGATAGGACAAGAGGAAATGTCCTCCAGTTGTGCCAGGGGCAGTATAGATTGGATATTAGCAATCATTTCTTCAACGAAAGGGTTGTCAGACATTGGCACAGGCTGCCCAGGGAAGTGGTTGAGTCAGTAACCCATGAGATCTTTAAGAGATGTGTAGTTGTGGCACCTGGGGACATGATTTAGTGGTGGACTTGGCAGGGCAGGGGTAATGATTGGAGTTGATGATCTTACGAGGTCTTTTCCATCTTAAATGATTCTATGGTTTGCCATGTGCCTCTAATTTTTTATTCCAGAAAGAATATGCCCCAGGTATCACAAGTCTGAGAAACACTACTCTGACGTGTGTGATAAAAGTACTCCTACAGTGTCTGTCACTGCAGATTATGCTGTTCAGCTCTGTTCTAATATTGCTACCTCCTCCTACATTTATATGGTAGTTTTAACTTCTTTAATTGTTGGGAGATATTTCTGTTTGAAGTAGAGCTTTTTCTTTTATTGTCACTACTGTTATCTGTATCTTTAAAAGAAGGAAATCAAATTTGTAACTTGCCTGCTTTGAACCTTGTAACTTACTAACTCTGAGTTACTGGTTCATATTGCTTCTTAAGGAAGGTTGTAAAACTGGATTGGAAGTCTGGTAAACTCAGTTGTTGGATTTGGCTTGAAATTTGCATTTCAGACTTTTAGTCCCTGTCTGGACAAAATATGATATCTTGAGTTTAATGTTGTTGGCAAATGAGCTAAAAAGCAGGATTCTGAGAGTGATGTTTGTGAAATTATATACATGAAAAAGAAGTTATCAAACAACATACTAACTTTATCCTCCAGTTGATGGAAAGGAGCAAATGAGAATAATTTCCCCAACACTTTGAGTACTAATCATCAATAATCAGGTTGATGTTTGTAATTCCATATAACAACGACAGTTAATTTTCTGTCCTAGTTTCTTAACTCCTTGGATGCCAGAGAAATATATCAGGAAGTAATGCAGCATCTACCAGACTTTGAAATTATCTCTGCAGAATCATTAGAGGTAAGTTTTTTAAAAATATGTTAAGATTTCTTCAAATAATATATTTTTATTGTAATTTTTTACATTTTTCAAATCCCGTTGACACAACAACCTAGTATTTAACTGAAAATTACTTCTTTTTAATATGTACCCAAAATTATTTAACATTTGTTTATCTACATTTAATTTTGTTGTTTAGCAAACCAACTAAAATAAGGGGAAATTTCACAGGAAAATAGAAAACCACAGAATTTGCCATTGCAATTCACTCTGCAGCTGTAACTTTCCAGTTATTTTTTTAAATCAGCTACATTATAGAGAATTCTGTTTTAAATGTATTTTGTTCAGTAATGTAAGAAAGAAAAAAGTACTTGTTAATCTATGGTAAATTATGTATGAACTGAAATTAAGAGTCATAAAAGTAATTTATGTCTTGGAGGAAAAAAAAAAAAGAGGAAGCCTTTTTTTCACCCTTGTAGTTGCACTTAGCAGAATGATTTACAATAGGAAATGCCCATGGAAACAAAAAGTATACAGGGTTTTTCTCAGATTTTTTCCTCTTTTCTGACTATGATGCAGTAAAAGGAAGTTTAGTGGAAGGAGCACACAAAAGAATATGTTGAGTGGAGAGGTCACTCAGAGATTAGATGAATAATTGGGCATTTTCTTTTATAAAACACAACAGGATTTTACAGGTTTGTATAGTTAGGAGTAATTTTTGTCCTGTGTTTTTGTTTTCTTTCCCTTTATTTGAAGGACCGTTTGGCTCATCACCGGTGGCTGCTTTTCTTCCAGTTTGGGGACAGTGATAAATCAAATGTACAGGAATTTAAGAAACTTAAATTTTTACTTAAAGATGAACATATTCAGGTAAGACTTCTCACTCATCTAGTGTTAAATACCATTTACATTCCAAGAGCAAGTCAGTATGGTTTTCATTGTTATTAGCTGTTACTACCACCTGCCACTTCTGGTACTGAAAGAGATTTACTTTCACATGGTAGAGCTGCAGTAAAGTTTTTAATTTAAAGCAAGCAATTGAGTTACCCATACAGCTTGTATAATTAAAGTAGCTAGAAAAGATTGTCTTTTAAATCTGCTCTCTCATGGGAAATGTTGCTGCAGATCTCATTCAGTTAACAAATAGAGTTAAGAATTCAACATCAAATCTATGGATATTTTAATTATTCAGAAAACCCTGTGATCATGTTGAACATGTTCTTAATGAAAAGAAATTCAAACTTTGTACTAAAGGCCTATGGATTGTGTTATTCTATAAGGTATGGGGGGTTTTCTTATTTGTTGCTTTGACTAGAAGAATTTTAATGCCACATTTATTTTAGGTGTCTTTTTGTTTCCTTGCTATTTTATATGGAGGGGGTAAAAAGGGAATTCTTTAAGGTTTTATTCCTGATTTTGGCCTTTAAATTAAAAATTAGCAAGCAACGTAATTTAGCTGTCTAGGAGTTTTCCTTGAACATCATACTTTAAGACCTCTGTTGCTTATAAAAATGCTACTACTTTTCCATACTTTTACCTTTTTTTGTAGCTCTTACTGCTTTTCAAAATATGTTAATCTATATAAATTAGTCTGCTTTTATTAAAATTTTCTGTTAAATAGGTTGGCAGGTTTGACTGTCTTTCCTCACCCACCATCTGCAACAAACTGTATGTCTATCAGCCTTGTTTAGCAGTCTTCAAAGGAAAAGGGACTGGCGATTATGAAATTCATCATGGTAAGGGAAACTTTGGCAGCTTTAAGTCATTACATAATCACTTTGAGATGACAATATATTTGGCAAACTGCATTTGTTTTCCCAAAGAACAGATTTGTAGCTTTTAATATTGGCTGATTTTCCTCTGACTGTACTGTAGCCTTGCACAAACTTAGAATTTCCTGTGTTTTTTGCTATTTTTCCTGGGTAAAAAGTCATCAGATGCCAGGAGATGTGTTTACTATCCTGTCTGTTTCAACATCATTTACATAATTGCATACAAGTAAAATCTTTGAAGCTGATCAGGACAGCTTCTGCTTTGGGTAGGATAACAAAGAATGCTGTAAGACACACCCTTCACAGAAGCTTAATGTGCTAGTTACACAGTGCAGCCAACTTGAGAAACTTGGGTTCTGTTTCATGTGTCACTGCACTAAAACTAGTTCCATGCTTTGTTAACTTCCATCCAAGAAAAGGTATATTGAGACTTTTACCACTTATTTTCATTTTCAACATAGCAGTTTCCTCTCTGGAAAGTTTGGAACTATGTTACTATGTGCTGCTAAGAGGATTCAAAAATGCTGGTTCAAGAAGAATGGAGACTGAAGCAGAGATATAGCTTGCAGAAATAGGTGTAGCTTCATCCAGAATGTGGCATAAGGCAGTTATGCAAGATGAAGTTCTCCTTTTTCAGCCTCTGAAGTATTAGAAGCAGCTTGCTAGAAATAAGTCAGAACCTCAGTACTGTAATAAACAAGAAAGGAGAAAAGTTTTTGACTACTTAGAAAAGGGACTACTTACAGAAGTCCCTTGACTACTTATGTAAGGGGGAGAGGTGATCCCATACATCTAATGATTGCTGCTAGGAAAAGCTTAATATACTTTTTGCCATTTCCACTCCTGCAGAGGACCTAAGAAAGGGTCTTATTCATACAGCATTTTTACAGTGTAAGAGAAGTACATTGAACTACAGTGTATACTTTTATTTGTTCTTAATGGTTTGGTTTACTATTTACAAAATAGATGGCATCCAGAATGTGCCATTAGTTATGTCACTCCAGTGTTTATGACAATATAATACTCAAAGGAATCAGGCTTTTTTATATGCTATATTGATAGGCTTCAATGGTTTAAAATCTAAGGACATTAATAAATCTTACTTACTCATTGTGCAGTGACTTCAGATTTGATTACCTTGAAGTTCTTATTCTTGGTTCATTTCAAGACCAGTTTTAATTTCTGCTGACAAATATGTATACAGAGGGTGTGAAGAGACTTTCTTTGCCCATTGGACCTGTGCGAGCAGTGACTTCACTTTTACTCCTAAATAGCTGTGATTTATCAGTATCATTTATTTTGCTTGAAGTTTTTACTGTGTCAACCTCTTTGCCAAGTCAAGCGTATCTGGAATAGTAAGTTTTTAATTCCAGCACTAGTAAGATGGTAAAACAGCCAATAGTCCAGTCACAAAAAATGCAGTCATTTTGTTTGACAAACACATGTTTTGTCTTGGATAAAACATTTATTTTGCTAGTATTGGGTAACTGTCCGGTTTAATATTTAGCAAAATATCAACTATCACCTACAGTATGTCCTGCCTCTGTAGGTTTGGACAGTTTAACATTGTCTTCCTGAGAAAAAGCAAGTCAGTATCTGTTAAGTTTATTAAAGCAGGCAGTGTTTAAAGATCAGACAAAGGAACTGAAAGATTCCTGTTGCTATCACAGTGTTTTTTAATGACACCTCTTGTGAGGTAAAATAAAATTTCCTTTCTACGTTGTTCTTTGAAGGAAAGAAAATCTTATATGACATTGTTGCATTTGCCAAAGAAAGTGTTAACTCCCATGTCATCACACTGGGACCTCAGAATTTTCCTGACAAAGAGAAGGAACCATGGCTTGTGGATTTCTTTGCACCGGTAAATATTTAATGTGTACATTTTCCTTCTTCTGAAATCTGTTCTGTAGCTATGTAACAAGGTACTAAGAAGTATCTTGAAATCATCCTTCAGCATCATGAGATTGTAATTCCTCATTCCTTGGCGGCAGTAGTTTGTAGACTGTGTGGGTGTTGTATTTAGTGGAGTCTGTTGTCAAAGCAGCATATTAGTAATCTCAGACATTCTTCTGAGAGCCAGCTGCAGGGAAAATAATTGCATTTCCTTGCATTTTGTTTTCTAGTGGTGTCCTCCATGTCGAGCTTTGTTACCAGAGCTGAGAAAAGCATCAAAACATCTTTATGGTCAGCTTAAATTTGGAACACTAGACTGTACCGTCCACGAAGGGCTTTGCAATATGGTAAGCTGCAGCAACTAAAATAATGAAATATAATCCTTTCAAAGAATATTATTTTCTTCTTATTGGAGGTAAGGGGATAAGGGCAGACAATGCTTGTCCTTTGTTACTTTCATAAAGGGTAGCAAACTGAATAAGCACTAGTATCACAACTTTTTTTCAAAGGAGCAAACTATGCAAACACTGCAGGTAATATATTAATGCAAAATACAGGTCACTTTTTGTTCTGATTTCATAGTGTTACTGGAAGACTCTAGAAGCCTCAGAACTTAATAATTCTGGTTTTTTTAATGTCTTCAAACATATGGAAGATTAACAAAAAAGGACAAGCTTTTTAAAGTTTTATTTAGATGTTTTTACACACTGAAGAATTCGAATCCTGGAAGTGTCTATGTTCTATAGTAAACAATAGTTATTCATAAAGTACAAATATTTCCACCTGAGGACTGGGTATAGCTTTAAAGTTAAGGCTTAGAAGGCTCACGGATTAATTCCTGTATTTGTGGAGCACAGCAAAAGAACTACTGGCTGGTTTTTAAATTCATCACAAATTATGCCATCTCTGAATACAATTGGCACCTTCTTGGTACTGATTTGTAATGGTGTCAGATTGCCACCTGCATGTAAGTCCGAGCAGTTGTACTGTACAAACTGAGTAGATTAGCAGCTGTGAGCCACCAATACCAATGACAGTAGAGGCAAGTACAAGAAACCTAATCATTCTGTGCGATCTTATTGTCTGTTTTGTTAGCATAACATTCGAGCTTATCCAACAACAGTTGTGTTCAATCAGTCTGATGTTCATGAATATGAAGGACATCACTCTGCTGAGCAGATCTTGGAGTTTATAGAGGTATGTAAATTATAATGCTTGATGCAGTCTTGCTCTGTACACAGCTCATCCACAAATGTTCGTTAGTTGGAAGGTTCTAAGATATATTTTTTTGTTATTAATTAGACTAGGAAGATAAAGGGTGAAAAAACTTTGGACAAGAAAAGTGATCCAGCAACTGTCAGCTGGGGATTTGACACCTAATAATTAACTTCCCTATTCTGTCAAGCAATGTCTTTGAGTTCATTAGGAAATTCTCTTCCAATTTGTCAAGTAATAGTAATGATTTATGTCTCATAGAGAAAATAAAGGCATTAATATTATAGCAATTCACATTTTAAGGTGAAAATGCCGGACATACACATCTTGACATAGGAGGAGGTTCACATTTTTGTCCATTAGCCTGTTGTTCTCCACATTCTCAGCTGTCCTTGAACTTTCCTAACTTGCAGAACTGCAATTCACTGGTACTGGTCATTGTTGATGTGGAAGTTCTGGCACTCAACTTTGGTCCAGCATTCAGGTTCTCTTCTTACAGCCTGCTTATATCTGCAGGGTATTTTCCACTCTTTAAAGAGACTGTGCTCTCCTGGTAGCTCAGACAAAGCAGGTTCAAGCACACATGCAGAAACAGGTGGAGATTAGTCTTTTTCAGCTGATAACCAGAGGCCCATAGTGTGCCATATGTATTCTGCATCCCAGCCTAAATAGTATGGTTGAGTTTCATAATGCCTGTTCTTGTTGAATTTCTTGCCTTTTACCTCCTTTTATTGAGAAAGGGAAAAAAAAATCCTCTCTTTTGGAGCCTGGCTGTATTTTTTTGATAGCTTTTTCCAACAAACCAGGCATAGGATTTTTGGTTGAAGGGATGACTTTGGATGTTTCCATGCCTTTCACTGGAGTGGAGTCTTCCCTACCACAGCAGCAAGCAAATTTCACAGGACATTCTCAGAATTTGATGCAGTCTATTTGTACATGATGGCATTAAATATGGAATACCTTACTGTTGCACAGTATATGTCTATAAACTGTCTTTATTTAGGATCTTAGGAATCCATCTGTGGTCTCCCTAACACCAGAGACATTTGTTGAATTAGTTCAGAGAAGAAAACGAGAGGAAATCTGGATGGTTGACTTCTACGCTCCGTGGTGTGGACCTTGTCAGGCTTTAATGCCAGAATGGAAAAAAATGGCCAGGGTAATTGACATTCAAATATCCTTCTGCCTTTGTTTGCTTTTCTGTGGAATTACTGAGCTAGTGAAACTAGTTTCTTGAGAGATTTGTCAACTGAGAAAATCTAGAGATTAATGTTGTGGAAAAACCAGGTAATTCCTACCTGACAGTTTTATATTGTTTCAAATACAAGGTTTTATTTGGCTTTTTAAAAGATTCATACATTAATATTGTAATCCAGTTTTCCCATGTCTAGGAAACTTCAGAGTAGCCAGCTTTTATTAATGCTTCAGATAGGCAACAGCTCTGCATTTACTTAAAATATGACAAAGATTTATCAATAAATTAGATGAGAATTGGTTGAAGTAACTTGCCACTTTATTCTCAGTGTTCTTATGATCATTAGTCATCTTTAAGATAGCAGTGAGACCTTGATGAAACATCTAACTTGAATTTCAGATTAAAGAAATTCAATCTTACCCAACTTAATTATTTCCTATATTAGGAAGATTATTTTTTTTTGAGATCTTGTTTTCTTCACTGAAAGTAAGTAAATGTTAAATACCATATACACTTCAAAGCTGATTGTCAGCTGAACTACACATACTTCAAAATGGAATGGTTGGGATTGGGGAGAGTGTTTTTATTGGGCAAGGTCATTACTTTTGCAGTGTTCTCCCATTTGCAAAAGTACTATTACCTTACTGACAGCCATTCCTGGAGATGTTTCTAGGAATTTGAACTAGAAACCTTGGGGGGAAAAAAAGAAATTAGGCCTTTGGAAACAAGCCCATGATTTTCAGACATATAGAACAACTAGGAGTTCTAGCCAGGATTCTATATTCTGGTGAAATGTCTGTGAAGTATTAGTAGCTCTATAGTACATGTTCAGTAATTATCAGTTTCCCTGCCCATGCCAAATATTTTGGGCCTTTGTAACAGTACGTTCAAGACACAGGCCAGTTGTGCAACTGATAGCACATCTGCACTGGACCAGGAGCTGTCATAATTACTGGGCCTATGATAGGAAATATGGTATTCCTTATACTAAATCACACAGGTACCTCTGAGGTAAGGTAGGTGCCCCGTGAGCTATGTGCATGCAGCCTATACTAAAGTATATGTGCATGATGGGAATGCACCTGGGGTGGCTGGTTCTTACTAGATACCAGTGATCCATTTACAGGCAAGAGGAAAGCCTGGTAAGAGGATAATCATGGCCTGTTCTGTTGGGTTTGCTTCCCCCCCAACTAAGTGATAAAGACTTAAAGTATTACTGAAATTGTAGTAGTATTGATTAACACATTTGATTGTAGGTTTACTTCTTTTTCAGATGTTAAATGGATTAATCAGTGTAGGTAGTGTGGATTGTCAAAAATATTATTCTTTCTGTCACCAAGAAAGTGTTCGTGGATATCCAGAAATAAGCCTCTTTCCCCAAAAATCAAACACAGCTCATCATTATTAGTAAGTACATTGCTTCAGTTTGGGAAACATTTCATGATGTGGAACAAGACAAAGACACATCTGCTGTTGTGTAGAAAAGGTTCATCACAGCTAGTATAACAGACTATATTACTGTACTGGATGTCATTGGCTTTGTTATTTCAAACTAGCATCATTTCATTTTGCCATTTCATTTCACTTAATCCGAACTGACAATACCTTAGGAATCTTAATTTTTAGCTCTTGTTCTTTTTTTTATCACCTTTCTAACTTTAATTGCCTGTTACAATTTAACATTCTAACTTTAATTTTCTTGTTACAACAAGTAGATAATTTAAATCATGTAATATAAAAAATGTGTGAGACCTAACTGATAGAAGCAACAACCCTGTGATGTCAACAATCCCTGTCAACTATCTGTTAGCACCATTGCAAAAGTTGTCCAGTGCATGTTGTCATCCATTCATTGTGTCAAAAATCATGGAATCATAGAATTTGAGGGGTTGGAATGGGCCTTACAGATCATCTAGTCCCAACCCCTGGGTAGGGACACCTCCTCACCAGACCAGGTTGCTCAAGGACTCATCCAGCCTGGCTTTGAACAATTGGCTTTCTGAGCTGAGCTCACACTGCAGCTCATGGTGAGCTTCTCATCCACCATCATGCCCAAGTCTCTCTCCTCATTGCTGGTCTCAGATATTCTAATGGAAATAAAATCTGGCCACAAACAAACTGCCTGTCCCTCTACTTCACAGTACTGTTTGAAGATGCAGGGATTTTAAGAGGCACATACATATTTAAAGACAGATAACCACCTGAAAGAGCAGATGTGTTGCTTCATTATTTTACAGATTGGAAAGTTGTATCATATGCTGGCAGATAATAAATTGTAATGCCACCTCATTGTAGTGTATAATAGCAGACTTCAGTAGCTTTCCCCATTGCACTGCTTGCTTTCATTCACTTCTATATAAAGTTTCTCTTAAAAATAGAATTATTTCTTTTCTTGTTTAAAACAACTACATTGATGAATGACTGTTAAATGTCAAATTTCTAATCACGAGTCAGCAAAGGTATGGAAATTTGTGTCTTAAAAGAAAGATCACCAAAAACTATCAGATCAGATTTTGACCAGGTAACTGTTGTGTTAAAAAGTTGTAAATCAGTGGATATGAATCCTGATTTAATCTTTTCTGTTTTAAACCTGGCCTTGGAATTTCAAAACTAAGCAATGCCCTGAAAGTCCAAATACTAAATCCTTGTCCAGGTAACTAGTTTGTCTGGCTTTCTACTGTCAAATTGAGGGAAATGTATACAAGTAATGATTGTTTCATTGTAATGAATGAGCATAACTAGAAAATATATTAAGATATTCCATTTTAGTTGTCATGTTTCTTAGAGCCTGCAATTTTTTCTCAAGTTATTACCAAAGATCCTTAATCCAAAATAGTTCTAGCTATCAAAGCTTCTGTGTTCCCCTGACATAGGATTTTGTTCTTTCTTCATCTTCTAGTCCTTAATTCTGTAGGCAGAAGTATATTAACAAGACTTCTATGTATTCAGATTTGAAGGCAAAGTAGAAATACATCCTAAAATATATGCATTTAAGATCATTTATTTGATTCTCTCAAGTCTTCTGAGGTTTTTGGTTTTTTTCAAACATGAACTACTGTGCAACTGGACCTTTGTTTTTAATCTGTTTATAGTAGCTACAATGGATGGCACAGAGATTCGTACTCACTGAGAGGTTGGGCATTAGGGTAAGTTACTTCATTAAACATTGTTCATTAGCTGCTTATATAGTTTGCTTGCTAGGAGAAATAGATATTTAAATGCCATGTACATCAAGAATTAAAAACATTTGGGTATAAGTATTTCTTAATTTAAAACATTAAGGTTTCTAGTTCTTTAAATAGCATATTCCATATTGTCCACCCATTCCCTGGAGACCATATTATTATTTTGTTTATGACTTTTAAAAAGTCATTCTATTTTAGCACGAAATGTGAAGTAGGGATCTTCAGACAACTGATATTCCTAATTTCAGAAACTTTCCTTAAATGGAATTTGAATATTGTTTGAAGTTTTGAATGTGTTATGACTGTTATTCTTCCCTTCTGCACAGATATTTGCCACAAGTGTCTGTAGACCTCACTCCTCAGAGCTTCACAGAAAAGGTTCTGAATGGGAAAGATCACTGGGTCATCGATTTTTATGCTCCTTGGTGTGGACCTTGCCAGAATTTTGCTCCTGAATTTGAGATCCTTGCACGGGTAGGTTTGCAACTATATTAGCAGATTCTGACACTCATAATGGTTAGAATGTTGGTCATCAGCACTTTAGTTCGTAGCAGTCATCCCAAAACCACAATACTCCAATGAGCCTCCTTATTCTAGGTCCCACATAGCCCGTGGGTGTTGTCTCTTGCACAGACACACACACCCTCTTTTCAGACAGATTTCAACTTAGGATGGGGTGACCTTTGGAGCTGTAATGTACTTTTGTGCTTTACCCTGAATTCAAGTACAAGTGCTCTGCTGAACACACAGTAACTCCTGATACAAGGTTAACGGTGTGGGAAGCAAGCAGCAACTATGCTGAAGTATGTGAAAGATTGGAGCAACATTTATTTTTTGTTTACTTTTAGCTGCACTGCTGGCTTCTTCCAGTTATTTGCCTAGTCACCCATGGAAACCTGAAGTTTGTTACTAATAAACATTTCTTTTTAGGCCATCAAAGGAAAAGTAAAAGCTGGAAAAGTAGACTGTCAGGCATATGCTCACACCTGTCAAACTGCTGACATCAGAGCCTATCCTACTGTTAAGTTTTACCCCTACCAAGGAGCAAAGGTAAAGTGTCACCTGCTGGTGAGCAGGTACTGTTAGTAGATGCATTTCATTTCACTTGAAGACTGAAGAGAATATTTCTGTAATGTATTAAAGTACACTATTTATATATTTCAGAGATACAGTAATAATCAGTTTCAGCAATACTTAAAATAGTAGGACAGTGATACAGTAATAATAAATTGTAAATTAATAGAACAGTAACTAAAATATGGGCTTATCCAGAACCAGAGTTTAATTTTTTGGGGTCTTAGGTGACAAAATGTTTTTCAATATTTATCAATTCCACCACTGGCTACCCAATAGCAGGCAGTCTCTCTCCAAATGAAATGTGGATAAGTTCGTTTTGGCTAAAGAGAAATATAATGAAGTGTTGTGATTATATTGAAAGAATAACTTTGACTTAAATAATTTAATTTAAGATAAAAATTGATAAAAAAGATAATAGTTGTGTTCTGCTTCAAACACAAACCTTATCAAACCATTTCCATTATCAGTTCTGACTCTGAGATCAACATTTCCTACTAACAGAGTAGTAGTAAATGAAAAAGATTCAAAGTTTGCAAATAGTTCTAGGAAATTGCGTTTATTCTTGTAAAACTGTTACATTTCAAAAATATCAGTCTTCTTTTTAAATGTATTAATGCTGAAGAGAAAGTATTCAATGCATTCTGATAGTTAAGCCAATCCTCATAATTATACTTTTCCCTTTTTTTAACTGAATCTCTTATGGGAAGTTCTAGAAATCCTTCCCTGCACAATCCCATCAAATTCAATGATTTGTTTGTGGTAAAGAGTAAAGGCTTTTCAGGTCTCAAAAGTAGTGACCCACACTGAGAGATTTCATAAACATAGATTACAAAGTGGCAGGATTTATAATAGCTACAGTAAATATTTAGCTGAATAATGTGAGCAAATTGAAGCTTTTTCAGGTTTTGTTAAGGATCAAGATGAAATTTGTGTAGTTTTGAAAACGAGCAGCTAAGAGTGGTTCTATATATAAAGACAATCAGCATTGTTTAAGCAGAGACAAAAATATATCCATGCATCACAAATCAACCTATGAGAGCCATTGTCTTCTTCCCTGCATTCCTCTTGAATTTTGTCTGAAAGCAAGCAGATTCCTAGTCAGTGTAAAAGTGTGTGACATATTACCCATACTCTGTTTTGCTTTGTTTGTTTTTTTTAAGAAAAATATTCTTGGGGAATACATAGACAGCCGAGATGCAAAAGGTATTGCCGACATTTTGAATGAGAAATTAGAAGCAATGCAAAATAAAGGAAAAAGAAAAAAATCTAGAAATAAGGTAAGAACACTTCCTGTGGGGCCTTTTGAAAAAGACTTGCTGTAAAGAACAGCTGTTTAAAATTGTTAGTGTTTGTTCTTTGTCCATGAAGTATTAAATGCTGTATCTTTAAATAGTATCAGGTACACTTTACTTCCAGTCTTGTTTTGGTTACTATTATTCATTCAAACTCAGTTCTCCATCTTGAACACTGAAGTTGCAACATCAGTTATAGCAGGATTTTATGGGACATGGCACAGCTGTGTTAAAGTTAGATGGTTGAGTTGCACTGTATCCTTAAGTTGTACTCCTGAGACTAGATTTAGTAGGCAGACACCAGAGGCTGATCAGTGCAAGACTGGGATTTGCATTTTACCTCAGCAAGAAGATACTAACACACCTATTAACTACACTGAATTCTATTTAAGAAACGTTTGTCCATTTGAAAAATTAGTACTGCAGAAAAAAATTATATCACAAGAAAAAATATTTGCATTGGTACTTTTAGAATAACTTGGTTGTTTATTTTCTTGTCACTAGGATGAACTCTGACTGGTACAGAAGGTAGATATGATTCAAAATATTCTGAAGCTGTGAATTTAGAAGACACCACAAGGAAAATATAAGGATGATTAATTTCATGGCAGGACAAGAGAGATGAAAACTAGTTTGAGTTCCCAGGCATATGTGACTGTATGAATTCTGTTAAACTGTGTGGAGATGAATACATTTTGGTTTTGGTGGAGGCATTCAATGTTTCTGCATGTCCTTCTTCGGATAGACCAGCTCCCTTCTTCCTGGTAAAACATTGGAGTTGACCAGATAATGTGGACTGTATCACTTTTGCCTACCCATTTAACTAGTTCCTTATATTTTTTTCTGTCTCTCTTCAATTGCTTTTTGAATGTGGCACTCAGCCTATGGCTGAATATGCACTCAAACCACTCTGCAATGCAGAAACATAATGAGGGATTGTCTATTTGAAAGACAAATGGTTGTACCTGATGATTATTCTGCTTTGGGGTTGCATTATTGTTTAGTCAATTGTTAAGAAATAAAATCAAGAACTGGTAGCAGGATCGGTTTATTGAATTCAATTGCTCTTGACCTTGAGTGGATTACTATACTGTGGCACTGATGGTGCTGCCTGGATGATCAGAACTTTGAAGAACTTCTTTAGTTTTTTGGTTTGGTTTTGGGATTGTGTTTTTGCCTTTTTTTAAGTAAGGAAAAAAAATAAAGGAATTCAAACTCAGTGTTTCATTGACTTTGAAAATGTAGGTTATGTCATAGAAGGATCTGGTTAAGTCATTAGGTCATATCTTTTACTATTGTCTTTTTAAGTATTTAAATAGGAATGTATTGTGTGGTCATATTTAGCCTATATTGGCATTAACACTTTCCCTCTTTCTGCAGACATGTTTTGGCTGGTTGGTTTTCACAGAATCTTTAGGCAAGCAGGATAGCAAGTGCCTTCTTTAAGTTAATAATGAACACTGTACATTGCAAAGTCTCCTCATACTTCCCACTCTAAAGAGTAATATTTTTCATAGCTTCTAAATAGACAAGAAAAATTACACAAGCCAACGCAACATCTGCAAATGAATGTTTCATGTTTTCAATAAAATGCTACTGAAAACTTGTCAGATGGACTTTTCTGCTTCTCTCCATGGATTTAGATCTGGCATTACTAGTCAGTGTAGTATGAGTATTACAAATTTGTAAATACATTGTTATCTACAAGTAATTTATTTCAAGAAGGCAGCAGCAACAAATGAAATGCTAATAACTAGGAGACATTCAAATGTTTCTTCTACGTTCAGTGGTGCCTCTATTGATATGTGGTCATGCAGCATATTATTCTGAGAGAGAAGAGAATGTATTGCACCTATTTTTTAATAAAGTAGATCTTTCCACATCCAAATCAAACTTCAAACTCAATCACAGCCAAAAATTAAAATTATAATACAAACTCTGTTTTGGTCAGTTTTTGCCTGTCACTGTGACTGCAGTTCCCACCTTCTGCCCTCTTCCTGGAGAATGAGGTCATGGTTAGATACTCCAGGATCCTACTGTTAAAAATCTAATAAAAATAACCTACTATAGGCATTTGTACAGTTTCTTCTTTATATATATTTCTTTTATATACAGTGATTCCTGGCAGTCTCCTCTGTAAGACAGGGGTAACATAAGAATATTCTGGCTTTGCTATGGCTTTACTCATACTTCAGCGCATTGTAAAAAGTTATCACTTCTTTCTGGTTTAGTTATTTGAAGCAATACAGGTAACTATTATGAAAAGAAAAACTACTACCCTCATCAAAATATCCTCCACCCTGACTTACTTTGTCCAGGCTCCTGGCTTTGAAACTCATTTATGCTGTGGGTAGGAGGATTTAGTTTAAATGTCAATAGAGCCTTGTTTTGAGATGTAAATCATAGAATTCATCGGGTTGGAAAAGACCTCAAAGATCATCAAGACCAACCCTACTGTCCTTACTGGACGATGGCACTAAGTGCCATATCCAGTCTC